CCAGGGGGAGCTCTGGTTTAGGAGAGTCCAGCCTGCCAGATCAAGGCCTTCCAAAGAGGGGTGACAGGAACCCATGGTGTCCAGGCAGGGAAGGAGCTAGGCACAGCTACCCCCCTCACACTCTCCTGCCCCACATGGGGGAAAGAAGGGTGGAGAGTCGCTCAGGGTGGAGGGCAAACGGAGACTTCCTGGCACATGCAGTCAGCACAGGCAAGATGCTGAGGCCTATGTGGGTGGACCGGGTGTTTCTCCAGAAAGGGCAGTGGTGGGCAGTGCTGCCAACCGGTCACGTCATTCGTCCCTGCTATGGGGACTCTGGAAAAGCTGACCGCATCTGTAATTACAGAAGATGGAAGTGGCAAGACCTCAGAGCATCTCTGACTTCATCTTCCTGTCAGGGCAAGAGAAAGTCTCCAGAGGGAAGGAGGTGACATCTAACGTTCATCAAGGGCTACGAGGGACTCTGCTCAGCCTCTCGGCTATTTAAACCAGTGCCAGCATCTCCAAAACGTGGCAGGTCCCTCGGCCTGCTTGCAGCATGCCTGGCCTTCAGAATCATCGCAGGGGAGGCGACTTCGTAGTGAGCACATATTTCCACGGGCATTTTCTGGGTCGGATGGAGCCGTTACAGCAGCCAGGAGAGTGAAATGCTGGGTTTATAAACTAGGTTGCACACAGGTATTTATCCTCCTCAACGGGCATAGGTCTCTGAATAGTTCGTTTTCCTGAAGCTCCGTGCAGTGCTCTGCCCTTTGTATTAGGGCAGCATCTCCTCCCCAAAGGCCAGCCCTGCGTTTGCATCAATCTCGGGGCAAAGAGAAGACTGGTTCAACGAGGCTGTCCTGGTTGGTACCTTATATGTATCTGGGGAGGAGAATTGCCCTTTAATGAACCGGCACAGTGCTACCTGGAGCTCTGGCTGTTGGGATTGAGCTCTGGGTTAGGGGAAAGGTTTTAATGGGCAGGACAGCAGAAAGGAAGGTATGTGTGCCCCCCTGTGCTGAGGGAGGCAGGGGACAAAGGACAAGGCCCCCCACCATCTCTGGTTGGAAGGGAGGACATCTCTCACAGGTGGAATCCCCAAGACCTTCCTAGCAGCAGGTGGTTTCTCTCCTCATTGAGGTCCTTGTCTTGTGCTCATTTCCCAAGCCCAGTCTGATGTAAAAGTCTAGGCTGTTAACACAATTTATTTGCTGCTTAACTTTTCTGGCTTCAGCTGATTTCAGAAACTTCTGCCCACTACCTGGACAGGGTGTTCTCATAGCAGTGGTTTCTTGGGCACTCGCTGGCCTCATGGCATCGGATCTGCCTTTAACTGTGCCCACCAGTTGGGCTGCCATGGTGGCCTTGGCAAATGGGCCTTCTCTCTGGAGGTCTCCTCTTGAGACCTGTGCCCCTACAAAGCCCAGCCCCTCAGGGGCCACTGTAGAGACGGGGCCTGTCACTCCAGGTGACTTAATCAGTGTGGAAGGCCAGCTGGAAGTGTCTGTTGGTTTCTGCCTCCCAACACACATGCTCTTCAAGTGGTGGTGACCTGACTTGGACTCTCAGAGAAAGGCCTTTTGATCCTGGGCCGGTGGTGCCTGTCCCCGCATGCTCCCACCTGCCTCCCTGGGCTCCCATCTGCCCTGCAGGGCCTCTGCTGAAGGCAGCTGACCTGAAAGTGATGTTATTTTTTTGAAGGTGGCATTTCATTCTCACAGCGGTAATATTTTCAGCTGGTTATTGAGGCTGATTAGTGAGCCTCAGGCCTCCATTGGTTAAATGGAGCCTCCTTCACAGATGTATTCTGGGACAGTGCAAATCCAGTGTTCTGAATGGGAATGAGTTGCCCCACATGGTGGTCGGCCATTTGCCCCGTGTCTGGGTCCTGCAAAGCAGTCTGGGTAAATTCCCAGGGTGCCATACCGCCACCATGTGGGGTGTCCAGGGGCAGCAGGACACTGGTGCTTTCTCTCCTCACCCTGGAGGGAGATGGTCAGTGTGTTCTAGAACACTCAGCCCCTTAGAGATGCAACTCCCAGCACTGTCGGTTATTAGTCCTGTTGTATTTGAGCCAGTTATTTGGCCTCTTAGAGCCTCAGTTTCTTCATCTGTAAATTAGGAATAATAATACCCACTTTATAGGATCAACTTGTACAGGATGTGTGTGGATATGTATGCCCACGTATGCACTTGTGTGTGTGTGCATGCATGCACATCTGCTTGTGTATGTGCACACGTGTCATGTGCATGTGTGTGTGTCAGTTTGGGAGAGAAAATAGTAACAGGAAAGTGTTAAGAAAAACCACCTACTCTCCTATAACGGTCTCAAGAAATGGTCAGGCCCAAGGTTCATCTTCATGGTAAGGAGGAACTGGCCTTTGGAGAGAGGGGCTCTGATGCAGGTGGTCCAATGGGAGGTGTGACCATGGGCGAGTCCATCACTTCTCTGAGCCTTGGTATCCATCTCTATAAAATGAGCAGGCTGGCCTCCTTCCCAACCCACCATCCCGTAGCCCTCTGATCTCAAACAGTCGTAGGGTTGGTATTTCTTCCTTGGAGAAGATTGTTGCATCTGGATTCTTGGTTGAAGAGAGATGGCAGACAAGGACAGTTGCTCACAGTGGATGGAGATGCGCTGGCTGTGTCTGTGGATGTCCTGCTGCTGTCCGGCTCTGCCCTTTCCAGGGAGGGTCTTCTGGGCTGGATCAGGGGGAAATGGCACTCAAGACACTGAGCTATGAGGTTGTCTTGAACCAGATGAGGTTTCTTGGTTTCTTGGACCAAGGCTCACATATCTAAGCCCCCAGTGAAGGGCCTGGGGAAAGAACTTCAATCGCCCTGTGTTGATGTCATTTCCTGTCTCTTTTGAAATAGCTGCACTTTTGGATCAAGGAGCTCTGGTGGCATAATGCCTAAGGCACTTGACTGCTAACTAGAAGGCTGGTGGTTCAAACCTACCAGCCACTCCTTGGAAAAAGGTTAGGCAATCTACTTCCATAGAGATACCACCTCAGAAACTCAAGGAGGGGTCACTATGAGTCGGATCCTACTCAACTGCAATGAGTTTGGTTGTTTTGGTTTCTTGGACCAAGGTTCACATATCCTTGGGTGGTGGATTTTTAAATGGTTATAAACAATTTGCAGTTAATTACCTTGTCTCGATAAGAAAGTCAAGCTTACCTAGGCTTCTCATTAACTCAAGGTCTTTTTTTCACTTGCAAGAGTCTCAGAGGTGGGTAAACCAAGCCAAACTCACTGCCATCGACTTAATTCTGACTCATAGTGACCCCCACTTGGTTTCCAAGGCTGTAAATCTTTACAGAAGCAAACTGCTTCATATTTCGTCCATGGAGCAACTGGTTGATTTGAACTACCACACTTTCAGTTAGCAGCCAAATGCCTTAACCACTGCACCATCAGAGCCCCTCAGAGGTGGGTCAAGGGAAATAAAAAATCTGTCTTTCAAAGGCCTCACTTCCTTAGAGTTCAGATTCCACTGGCCTGGCCAGTGAGTCCAGAGTCATAAAGTTCTTGGTATTGTTGGGAAAGAGCTCTGAGTTTGGAGGTTCAAGTCTTAGTCCCACCACCTCCAGCTGAAGGACCAGTTACTCTGCTCCTCCAAACTTCCTGATCTTCATCAATAGAAGTGGAACCATGGTAACCCTATCTTCTCTCATCACTACCTGAGCTCTTGAAACTCAGCTAAGCTCATCTGGTGGCCTAGGGCCTAAGGTATTTAACTGCTAACCAGAAGGCTGGCGGTGCAAACCCACCAGCCACTCCTTGAAGGAAGACTGGGCAATCTACTTCTGTAGAGATACTGCCTCGGAAACCCAAGGAGGGGTCACTATGAGTCTGAACCGACTTGACAGCAATAAGTTTTGTTTTGTTTTAATGTTCACTTTATAAACTGAAAAGCTTGAAAAAGTGACACATCATATGATTGTTTTTCCTTGCGAAGTGTAATTCTGGCAGTAATGGTAATTCTGGCAGCTGTTTATTGAGTGTTTATTATGTGCCAGACTCTGGGCTAAGAGCTTATCACATTTTGTCTGAACAATCGCCCTGTAAGTTGTGTGCTGGTCACCTGTGTTTTATAGAGAGCTTATCTTTAGTAACCTAGTGCTGCCATAACAGAAAATGCCATGAGTGGGTGGCTTTAAAACCAGGAATGTATTATCTCACCATTGTGGAGGCTAGGAGTCCAGATTCAGGGTGTGGGCAGGGCTAGGTTCTCTCTCTCTCTCTCTCTCTCTCTCTCTCTCTGACTCTAGGGAAGATCCTAGTTTCTTTCAGCTTCTGTAGCCCAGGGTGTTTCTTGGCTACTTGTATGTATCTTCACATGGCATCTGTCTGTGTATCTGTGTCTGTCCTTTTGTTTCTGTAAGATGCCACTCGGAAGGGATTAGGTTTAGAACTCATCCTACTTGGGTTTGATCTCGTTAACATAACACAATACCGTATTTCTGATCAGGGACATATTCCCAGGTACAGGGGTTAGAACTTCAACATCACTTCCTGGGGGACACAATTCAGTCCATAACAGAGTAACGTGAACTTGTCTGAGGTCATGCAGCTTGTAAGGTGCAAATGGCCTAAGGCAGCCTCCCTATGTCCCCTAGCTTGGGTGGCCTGTGATTTTCTATGATTCATCTAAGTCAGGTGTTCTCCATGCAACTACCCAGATGCCCCAGCCTCTTCCCCAGGAGGGCTGACTGTTGATCTGGGTGGGGTCCTGGTATCAGGACTTGTTCCTGGTTCCTGGTGAGTCCCACGTGCAGCCCAAGTGGGAAACTCTGGGCCAAGCACTCAGGTCCACAGAGGCCGCAGAGTCGTCAGGTCAGATGTCAGGGTTCCTTGGCCAGGCCCTCTCCCTTCTCCAGGCCTCAGTTTCCTGCCTTGTCACAGGAGGAGTTGGGCAGGTGGCCTCTAGGCCTCCTTGGCTTTGAGGTCTGTAACTATTTAAGAAGCTTATGGGCGTGGACATTAGTGTTCTTTTTCTTCTTCTGTTTTAGGCAGAATATGAAGTTACCCCAGATGAAAAACTGGGAGAGAAAGGGAAGGAAATTATGATCAAGTACCTCACTGCAAAGGTAAGAGGCCCCCCACGCTACAGCAGAAGGGGTGGGAGATTGATCAAGGAGTGGGTGCCCCCAGGTCTGAGCAGGGCTCCATGGGGGCCTGTAACTGTTGGTCACACTGGAGCTGACCGCCGTTCTGGGCCTGGTGGGTTCTCCTCCAGTGTCCGTCTCAGTCAATGGCATTTCATGGAGGGCGAGCCCAGCTTCACACCCAGAGCTGTCCCTCCATCGCTGCTGCCAGCTCCAACTGAGGGGCTGCAGTTGCTGTTTTCCTATGCCTCTCGTTCGTAATCACAATCACATTCCTTACAAGAATTTCAAACACGTTCAGGGGTCCAGGGTTAATGTCTATGAAAATACTTTCTGATTCTGAGCAGGGCTGCCTCACCCTTGGGTGGCCCTGGGCCAGCATGGCTGCTCCCACCATCTGCAGGCTGCCATTGGGCAGGAATGCCTTGCTTTGCTCCAGAGACAGACCTGGTCAAAGTCTGTGAAAGTTCTCAGGTTGGAAAGTGGTCAGAGAGGGGACATGTCTGAGCTGGGTCCTTGCTCATCCATAGTCAAAGCCGGTGACATATCCATGAGGCTGCAGATGGGTGTTTTTGATCTCCAGGGCTCCATTTGAAGCATCAAGGACACCTGGTATACACAGGAGTCCCCAAGCTCAGAGGAGGCACCATGCCGAGAGCTTCCATACCTGGTTGTTGTTGCTGTTAAGTGCTCTCAGGTCCATTCCGACTCCAAGCAACCCCATGTGCAACAGAGTGAAACATTGCCCAGTCCTGCGCCAGCCGCACAATCTTTGCTCTAAGCCCATTGTTGCAGCCACTGTGTCATTCCATCTCGTGTGAGTCTTCCTCTTCTTTGCTGACCCTCTACCAAACATGATGTCCTTCTCCAGGGACTGTTCCATTCTGACAACATGACCAAAGTGTAAGAGGTGAAGTCTTGCCAGCCTCACTTCTAAAGAGTATTCTGGCTGAACTTCTTCCAAGACAGATTTGTTTGTTCTTCTGGCATCCCGTGGTGTATATTCAATATTCTTCACCAACACCGTAATTCAAATGCATTAATTCTTCTTAGTTCTTCCTTGTTCATTGTCCACCTTTGCATGCATATGAGGCAATTGAAAATACTTTGGCTTGGGTTAGGCACACCTTAGTCCTCAAAGTGACATCTTTGCTTTCTAACACTTGAAAGAGGTCTTTTGCAGCAGATTTGCTGAAGGCAATGCGTTGTTTGATTTCTTGACTGCTGCTTCTGTGAGTGTTCATTATGGATCCAAGTACAATGAAATCCTTGACTTCTTTACTGTTTTCTCTGTTTATCATGATGTTGCTTATTGGTCCAGTTGTCAGGATTTTTGTTTTCTTTATGTTGAGATGTAATCCACACTGAAGGTTGTAGTCTTTGATCTTCATCAGTAACTGCTTCATGCCATCTTCACTTTCAGCAAGTAAGGTTGTGTCATCTGCATATCACAGATTGTTAAGGAGTCTTCCTCCAATCTTGATGTCACATTCTTCATATAGTCCAGCTTTTCATATTATTTATTCCAATACAAATTTTTTAAAAAAAGTATAGTGAAAGGATACAACCCTGACGCACACCTTTCCTGGTTTTAAACTACACAGTATCCCCTTGTTGTGTTCAAGCTACTGTCTCTTGGTCTACGTACAGGTTCCTCGTGAACACAGTGAAGTGTTCTGGGATCCCATTCTTCACAATGTTACCCCTAATTTGGTATGATCCACACAGTCATAGTCACATGCATAGCCCCTTTGCATAGTCAACAACACACAAGTAAACATCTTTCTGCTTTCTCTGCTTTCAGCCAAGACCCATGTGATGTCAGCAGTGACATCCCTCATCCCATGTCCTCTTCTGAGTCCAGCTTTAATTTTTGATGGTTCTCTGTTGATGTAGTGCCACAAACTTTTTTTTTTCTCATTTGCTTTCATCAGAATTTTACTTGCATGTGATATTAATGGTATTGTTTGAAATTTCCACATTCCATTGGACACCTTTCTTTGGAATGGGCATGAATATGAATCTCTACCAGTTCGTTGGCCAGGTAGCTGTCTTACAAATTTCCTGGCATAGACAAGTAAGCACTTCCAGTGTTGCATCTGTTTGTTGAAACATCTCGGTTGGTATTCTGTCAATTCCCAGAGCCTTGTTTTTCACCAAAGCCTTCAGTGCAGCTTGGGCTTGTTCCTTCAGTACCATTGGTTCTAGATCATGTACTTCCTGCTAAAATAGTTGAATGTCCATCAATTCTTTTCCATACAGTGACTCTGTGTATTCCTTCTATCTTCTTGTGATGCTTCCTGCATCATTCAATATTTTGCCCAGAGAATCTTGCAATATGTCATCTCAAGCCTTGAATTTTTTTTTCTTTAGTTCTTTCAGCTTGAGAAATGCTAAATGTGTTCTTACCTTTTGGTTTTCTAACTCTGGGTCTTTGGACATGTCATTAGAATACTTTGCTTTGTATTCTCAAGCTGCCCTTTGACATCTTCTTTTCAGCTCTTTTCTTCATCATGTCTTCCATTTGCTTTAGCTACTCTGTGTTCAAAAGCAAGTTTCTGCATCTTTTCTGATATACATTTTGATCTTTTCTTTCTTTCCTGTCTTTTTAATGTTCTTTTGCTTTCTTCATGTATGATGTCCTTGATGTTATCCCATAGCTTGTCTGATCATCAGTCGTTAGTGTTCAGTGAGTCAAATCTATTCTTGAGGTGGTCTTTGAATTCAGGTGGGATGCACTCAAGGTTGTGCTTGGTCTCTTATGAACTTGTTTTAACTTCTTCAGCTTCAACTTGAACTTGCATATGAGCAATTGATGGTCTGTTCCACAGTCGGCCCCTGGCCTTGTTCTGACTGATGATATTGAGCTTCTCCATCGTCTCCTTGCACAGATGTAGTTGATTTGATTCCTGTGAATTCCATCCAGGGAGATATAGTCACCATTTATGTTGCTAAAAAAAGTTATTTGCAATAACTAAGTCATCGGTGCTACAAAATTCTATGGCACGATCACCAAGGCCATATTTTCCAGCTACTGATCCTTCTTTGTTTCCAACTTTTACATTCCAACCACAAGTATTATCAATATATCTTGATTGCATGCTTGGTCAATTTCAGACTGCAGAATTTTATAAAAGTCTTCCATTTCTTCATCTTTGGTATTAGTGGTTGGTGGGTAAATTTAAATAATAGTTGTAGTAACTGGTCTTCCTTATAGGTATATGGATATTATCCTATCACTGATAGCATTGTACTTCAGGACAGATCTTGAAATGTTCTTTTTGACAATGAATGTGTCACAATTCATCTTCAATTTGTCATTCCCAGCATACTAGACCATAGGATTATCTAATTCAAAATATCCAACACCAGTCCATTTCAGCTCACTATTGCCTAGAATCTTAATCTTTATGTGTTCCATTTCATTTTTGACAACTCACGATTTCCTAGATTCATACTTTGTACATACCACGTTCTGGTTATTAATGGACTTTTGCAGCTGTTTCTTCTCATTTTGAGTCATGCCACATCAGCAAATGAAGTTCCTGAAAGTTTTACTCCATCTACATGATTAAAGTCCACTCTACTTTGAGGAAGCAGCTCTTCCCCGGTTGTAGTTTGAGTGCCTTCCAATTGAGGGGCTCATCTCCTGGCACTACACCACGCAGTATTCCACTGCTATTTGTAGGGTTTTCAGTGTCCTGTTTTTTCAGAAGTAGATTACCCAGTCCTCCTCACTAGTGTGTCTCAGTCTGGCAGCTCCACTGAAACCTGTGCACCATGGATAACCTGCTGGTATTTAAAATACCAGTGGCCTAGCCTCCAGCATCCCAGCAAAACACGGGTCTCCATGGTACGACAAAATGACAGACAAGTGGTGGTCAGTACTAGGAGGAGATGATGGTGATAATAAAGCTTGTTGACTGACCTCCTACAATGTACCAGATGCCCCTAGACATTATCCATACCCACAGGAGGAACATGGCTCTTCACAGGTTGTGGGGCCCAGAGAGGTGGGCAACTTGCTGGGGCTGCCCCTGCAGGGCCTTTTCCCACTGGCTCTGCTTTGCCCAGTCCAGCTGTCCATCTGGGCCCACACATGTCCCCAAACAATGGTAACTAGCATGCATTGAGGACCCACTCTGTGCCATTCAATCCTGTTGTCACCTGTAGAGTCTACCAGCCCCATCTTACAAAGCAGCAGCAGTGTGTCTGGGGGGCGGGGGCTGGCACTCTCCTAGGTCACATAGCTAGTAAATGGGAGAGCCAGGATTTGAACCCACATGGATTAGTTTCCTAGGGCTGCCTTGAAAAGTGCCACAAAGTGGGTGGCTTAAAACAGTGGAGATTCATTGTCTCACGCTTCGGGAGCCCAGAAGTCTGAGTTCAGGGTTCCGTGGGGCCGTGCTCTCTCTGAAGGCTCTAGGGGAACATCCTCCCTCGCCCCTTCAGCTTCCTAGACTCGGGCATCCCTTGGCTATGACAGCAGCACTTCAGTCTCTGCCTCCCGAGTCACATGGCCATCTTCCCTCTATGTGTCCCTGGGTCTCATCCATTTTTTGTAAAGACACCAGTCGTGTTGGATTAGGTGGCATAGTGCCTAAGGCACTTGACTGCTAACCAGAAGGCTGGAGCTTCAAATCCACCAGCCACTCCTTGGAAGGAAGACTGGGCAATCTACTTCCGTAGTGTTACTGCCTCGGAAACCCAAGGAGGGGCCACTATGAGTTGAGACTGACTCGATGGCAGTGAGTTTTTCTTCTAGTCTACTCCACTATAGATAAGCCACTTGCCTACTTACTGGAAAGTCAGCGGTTCAAACCCACCGGCTGCTGTATGGAAGGAAGAAGGGCAATCTACTTCCGTAAAGATTTACAGCCTCAGAAACCCAATGGGGGTCACTATGAGTCAGAAACGACTCAGCAGTGAGTTTGGTTTTGGTTTTTTCTACTCCAATATGACCTCAGGTCAACTTAACTAGC